CTTGTGCTGGTTACCCGCAAGAAATGAGAAGGGTAAAGCCAGCCATCCGAAAAAGTAGGACCAGGAGAAGAAGACCTCTTGCTTCCAGGCATTCTTTGCAGTGTATCCCGTCAAAGCAATCATCAGCAGCAGCCCTGAGTCACGCCCACCGGTCAGGTGAGCGGGACCAGGCGGGGGGCAGCACCCAAGCCCACCCCTATTGCCTAGACCACGCCCTTCAGAACAGCCTCTGGTGTCCAAAGGTAGCCCAGCTACCCTTTGGCTCCACTTTTTTTTACTCCCCCACCCAACTCCCCGTTTTCTTTTCTTTTCTATTTTTTAAGAATAGAGTCTTCCCTTGTACAATACATCCCGACCAGTTTTCTCTCCCCCCACTTCTCCCAGCTTCTCCATATCTCCCCCTTCCCAAGATCCACTTCCTCCCTCTGTTTCCTCTTCGGACAACAGCAGACCTCCGAGAGACCACAGCCAAATGGACAACACAAGATACAAAAGGACAAGGCAAAAGGCCCCGTATCCAGGCTGGGCAAGACAACCCAGTGGGAAGACAAGAGTCCTAAGAGCAGGCAAAAGAGTCAGAGATACACCCACTCCCACTGTTAGGAATCTGTCATTCCTGTACTGAATTCTTTCATCCTTCAGCCATAACCCTTCATTTCTAACCATATCAGTCAACCTCTCTTGGCCCACCGCCTTCAGGATGGCCATCACCATCACCCACTCTCCACCATGGAGGTGGGTGTCTTCTCACCGCTGAGGAAAAGTAAGACAATGGTATTCTGGCTACGCAGTGGCTCACGCTCTTGGTACCAAATCCTCATCCCCATCCCCAAAGATATGATACTGAAGGTCGCTGACAACACCATGCACGCTGCGGTCACCGCCAGGGTGTCTGGGGAGACAGGGTAGCATCAGTGGGGCATCATGCCACTGTGAGAGAGCAACCTGGAGCACTTCTGACCACCCTTGCCCCACCACACACACTGTGTGTATGTAGAGCTCAGCTGTCTCCAGGTGTTCATAGGGGTCCGATGAGGACATGTAGGAAGAGGGCAGCCACACAGGGCTGGGGAGAAAGAGCTCTAGTGGTAGAGGGCAGCTGGATCTGAGCCTGGGGTAGAGGACACAGCTGGAGCTGGGGGTAAGGGTGGGCTCTGGAATGTGGTCTGGTATAGGGGCAGGTAAGGGTCTCACTCTGGCAGGGAATGTTGGAGCAGATGCCATGGGTACACTCCTGCCACAGGCCACTGTGACCCCCAGATTGTCGGATCCAATAGTTGGTAGAAGTGGACAGCACTGTGAGGATGCTGGTCAAGAGATTAAGCAAATTGCCTCCAGTCTGAAGGCTCCTCTTCACCCCCATGCCAAGGAAGCAGGAAGCTGCCAAGGACATCAAGGTAGGACTGGCTCACACCCTTGATTGAGGGAAGGCTCCTCCACTTCAGAAGGCCTCCCTCCCCAAGCCCTCATGCTTGATGACCTCAGGGTCCCTAACACTAGTCACATGGTAGCACAAACTTGTAATCCTACCACCAAGGAGGCTGAGGGAGAAGATTGAAGTCCAAGGCAGTCCTGGATTATATGAACTCTGGGCTAGGTGTGAGACTCTGTCTCAATTGAAACAACAAACAAGCAAAACAGGAGCTAGAAATGTAGCTCTGTGGTAGAGTGCTTGCCTGGCATACACAAGGCCCTAGGTTCCATTCCCTTGTAAACCAAACATAGCACACCTGTCATCCCAGCACTTGGGGTATAAGGCAGGAGGATCAGTCAGAAGTTAAAGGTAATTTTTCACTACACAGTGAATTTAAAGCCAGCCTGGACTATGTGAGACTCAAACAAAACAAAACAAAAAGATTCCCAATCTTCCATCACCCCATGCTCCTGACCTCAACCACCTTCCCTAAGAACTGATAACTTCCTCTAAGAAACTCAGTTCTCTAAGACATCTTCACTGGAAGACACCCCCTCACCCACCCACCACCATCTTTACTTCAGGCCTCATGGCTCAGTGACTATCTTCCAGGGACTTCCTATATCAGTTGAATGCCCCTATACAGGTCCCGATTGGCCCAGTGCCATCCCCATCCCTACCACTACACATATACACCCCAGAAAATGACTCACAGTCTGGTCCCCTGGGACAGACAGCCCTATGATGGGAGGGGTGGAGGATGGGTCTCTGTGAGGCAGCAGAGATTCCAGAACCCTCTCCTAGTAGCCATTTAAAGGGATACCCTCCCCAAGAAGCGTATTCATTTTCTGTATCTGTCCTTCGGGAATTGTTTGTTTGTTTCTGAGACATGGAGATCATCCTGACCTGAAACTCAGAATTCCGCCTGCCTCTGCCTCTCAAGTGCTGGAATCAAAGGCGGGCACCACTGTATCCATCAGGATTGTTGTTTGAGATGGTGTCTTTTAACTCTGTAGCCCATGGTGCTTTCAAACCATCTGAGCAGCCCAGGCATAACCTTGAACTTCTGATTCTTGTGTCTCTACCTCCCTGATGCTGGGATTATAGGCTTGCACTGCCATCCTTCTTGTGTCTCTACCTCCCTGATGCTGGGATTATAGGCTTGCACTGCCACCCCTCCTGTTCTGTTCTGTTCTATTCTGTTCTGATCTGTTCTGTTCTGTTCTGTTCTGTTGTTTTGGGGCAGAGTCTGACTATGCAGTTCTTACCTGTTCTAGAACTCTCCATGTAGGCCAGGCTGACCTCAAACTTGCAGCAGTCCTCCATCCTCAGGCTCCCAAGTGCAGGGACTGCACCACCAAGGCCAGCTTCCCGCAGTTTCTCTAAAAAATGACTTTAACTTTTCATATTTTTAAGATGTGAATTGCTATTTTTAATCATGTGTATGCATGTGTCTGTGTGTGGGTTGTGTTCATGTGAATGCAGGTGCCCAGTGGAGGGCAGAGGCACTGGATCCCTTAGAACAGAAGTTCCTTTGGCTTTGAACCACCTGATGTGGGTCCTGGGAACTGAACTCAGCTTCTGAGGCTAGCTCCATTAACAGAATGACAGCTTAGAAAGCAAGCCTGGGAGCCAGGCGTGGTCGCTCCTGTCTGCAGTCCTAGCACTTAGGAGGATGAAGCAGGAGGAATACCTTCAATTCGGAGGCTGGCTTGGTCTACATGTGAGTTTCAGGCCAGCTAATCTCCTGTCTCAGAAAGAAAAGGAAGGGGGATGGAGGAAGGGCAGGTGATGCAGGAAAGAAGAAAGGGAGAGAGGGAGGAAGAAAGGAAAACGAGAAGGAAGGAGCTTCAAAGCTACAACTATTGCATGGCTGATGATGTTGTTCTGAAAGCTTCTCTTCCTTTAACTATCATGGTACCCCCTAAGCTCTCCTGGGCCCCATGCAGGCAGGGTTCCACCCTCTCCTCCACTCCTCTAGTAAATGCTGATCTCCCGATGCCATCATAACCCTCTCTCCAGGAGAGCCTTCCTCTCCCCAAGCATAGGGACCCTGACAATCTGAGAGAGCAACCAAAATGCCACCTCTAGCCCCACATTCTTCATCTGATCTCCAGATAGTCTTACCTGTCCCTGGCTCACTTCAATGGCTACTCAGCCACATTGCCACCAAGATCATGGGCACAGAATCACACTTGATCAGGGAATCAAATTTGTAACAGCTCTGCTATCTCACCCACTTTGTCAGACTAGAGCCTTCGGTGCTTTCCTTGCTTCTGGTATGCCTTTGACTCCAAGCTCTGTCCCTTCCTACCTGCTCTCCAACCTTCTAGTCTTACCCCCAGGTCACTGGAGGGAGACCTCTCTCTCTCTCTCTCTCTCTTTCTCTCTCTCTCTCTCTCTCTCACACACACACACACACACACACACACACACACACACACACACACTGTTCACAGTTATTGCCAAATTTGTCACCATTTTAAGGAGAAAGCCAGCTGTGGCAATAGAGGCCCTGGTTTTCATCTGCCTCTCTCATAATTTCCCACCGCCATCACCACAGTCTACGTCCTAGATACAAATCACCACCTTTCATACCCTTTCCATGTCTCCATCTTTGGCCACCTCTGCCTGGATAGCATAATTCCTGTGCTAATGAATATTTGTAACCCTAATACTTCAGAGGATGAAGCAGGAGGATTGCTGTGAATTCACAGACTGCCTGGGCAGTTAGTGAGGCCTTGTCTCAAAAGGTGTGAGAGAGTTGGGGATGTAGCTTGGTGATTGAGGACTTGCCTTAGCTTGAAGGAGGCCCCATGTTCCATCCTCTATGTTAAACCAAAAGAATAGTTGCTAAATGTCATCTCTGGTTAAAAAAAGAAAAGAAGAGAAAAAGACATGCTTGGGTTTAGTTTTCCTCCCACATCCTCAGGCTGTGGCTGTCATCTGGCCCGTGTCAAGTGCTAGTGGTTAGGGTTTGTCTGTGGTGCAATGTCAGTGAGAGAGAGAAAGAAATATCCAGTAAAATGGTTGCCACTGGAGAAGAAGAAAGACAGAAACTGAAAAAAAGAAAAGCACTTAAATAGGGGAGAGAGGCATAGGGAAGCTATGTCCACATAGGGCAGAATCTACTTCAGGTGTGCAGGTCTGCATGGCTCTCCCCTGCCCTGAGGGCTCCTCTGTTACCTACTGTAAGGCTCGTGTATGGTTGACCTAGGTGCTAGGGACGGAACTTGGACCTCACTCATGCTCAGAAAGTCTCTGCGACTCAGCCACCATCCCTGCCTGCCCTTGTTTTATTTTTTGCCTTGAGGCAGGTTCTCTCTGAGTCACCTAGGGCAGCCTTGAGATCACTGTGTAGCTGTGATAATCCTTGCTCCAGGCTCCCAAGTAACTGGGATGATAGGCCTGGCTTGGTTTATGTCTTGACTGAATTGATCTTGGGACAATTAGATCTCAGTATGTTTTTATTGAATGTGTGAAGAAACCGAGGGGGGGACAGAGACAGAGTCCTGCATTTTGTCTGTAGCTCCCGAGAGGACAAAGCTCCAAACATCCTGCTGACCCCCGAAGTCTTGCCTTCTGTTCACAAGGTTTCATACCCAGCCTGGTGGGTTCTACAGTGAGCACCCAGGCTCAGGCAGCCTAGTGTGGAGAGAGACGGGGGAGGGGAGAGTAGGTACTTGAGTGTCCTACACTGCCCTGCCCCACACCCCAGCAGGGTCCTCCTGCCCCACACCCCCGTCTTCCCTGGGGAGGTGTTACCTGCACAGAGGAAGAGGACAGAGGAGACCCATCCCAGGTAAAAGGACCAGGCGAAGGATGTCTGGACCTGGGGAGATGGAGTCTGGCTCCATCTACTACTGGTGTACACTGCCATGGCCACTATTACCGAGAGAGCTGAGGACAAAAACAAGAGAGAGCTGGCTTGGCCACTGCAGGACTCACCAGCTCTGGGGTCCCAGTGCGTCCCAGATCCATTCATACCTGCAGCAAAAGACATGACCGTTGAGACTAGAGGGCCACGGCCTGGGACAGACAGGGCCGGACTGTAAGACAGGATCAGGAAGACCATGGACACCAGGCTCCACAGGGCGGCCAGGATACAGAAGCTCTGTGTCACGTGGATATAACCTAATGCAAGATGAGACTCGTGGGTGTCTGTTCCCCACTGGACATTCCCACCCCAGAGAGCCCATTGCACTTTACCTGCTACTTGGATCCCATGTGTCGTTGGCCAGAGGCCACTGTGGGAAGAGAACTTGGGGCCTGTGGCCACTATCCAGAAGTCAGTGCTCAGAGCAATCAGAGAAGAAGTCAGGCCCAGGGAGCCAGCAAGCAGGGCCAGGGACCGGCAAGGCTCCATGGACACAGCTCTGAGTTTCCACTTCTTAAGACACAGATAACCCAGACTATTGGGTCTTAAAAAAGGAAAAGGCCACGCACCCAGACTCCCAGGACCTCTGAGTTAGAAAAGCAGCTGGTGACCAGTCACTCTGACTGGGAGTCTCACGAAGCTTCAAGCCTGGCACCGGATTCTTCTCACACCCTCCCTTCCTGCGTGGCTTCCCCTCCCCTCTTGGATTGGCTCTTCTCTTCCTGGGTGGTGGCAGAGGGCCTGCTGGTGTCTTTACCAGTTGGCTGTTCTGGGGGCGTCTGCCTTCCGTGGTCTAGGTAGTGGTTTACACTGGTGTCACAGGTTCTGCACCTCCATAGTTGCAGACAACAGAAGGTTTCCTGGAAGACCTCAGTAGGGAGGGGTCTGGGGCCCAGAGGTGGGAGGTGGGCTAGTCATACTAGGGTGTAAATTAACTGAAAGGGGAGATGTGGCTGAAGGGACAGTTGTGTCACACTTTCCTGTGGGTTTTGCACTTTGCTCCTAGACTCTAGCGCTAGAGTTTCCAACCGTAGAGGGGTGGTGAGGTCAAAATAGCAGTTCTATAGGAGGAAGGACTTGGTGGAAAGAGAAACTCCATGTTCCTAGTTAAAGCTCTGTCCAGGTGAGAAGTCACCCACCGAGGTGGGCCTTCCAGCTTGGGTGTCTTGTCATCAAGATGAGGGTGTCTGGGGAGTGGAGACAAAGTGGCAATTCAGGTTCTTCTGCCTTTCTCCTCCAGTAATGCTCAGCACCTCTACATGGAATCACAAAGTGTGTCTGTCATCTCTTACTATGGTGCATTGGACTGTCTTCCCAGCACTCAAGATCTGAGGCAGGAGTATCGTGAGTTTAAGACCAGCCTGGGATACATGAGACCCTGTCCATCCAAAAACATAAAATAAAATAGAGAGAGGGACAGAGCTGAACTCTCCCTAGTGAAGGGGCCATCCAGGGAGGGGAGGGGAATTAAGGAATTCCTGGAGCTTAGGGTAGGGTAGGCATAGCAACTACCCTGGGTAGGGAGCAGGAAAGCTATACTTTGAGAGATCAACTTGTTCATCTATTATTCTGAAGGGACCAGCTTCCCTTTTGGCAGCCATAACGGCTGAACACGTGCTCTATGACCTTGTCTTAGTCACTAGAAAGTCAGATGCCTGTCTTGTGACAAGGAACCAATCAGAAGTTAGTCAGTCG